TTGACCAGTATATGGTGACTTCTCTATAAAAGTGAAAAATTCTCGAACGGCACGTAAAAACAACACACAATCAATCAATCAACCAATCCATTTGATGTCCAGAGCATCTGTCAAATCCTTTCACGTCTTCGCGTTAAAATCCTTTACGTTACATTGCTTATGATCCATAAGTTTGTACAAACCTTGGTATATTTTGGTCGCTGAGCTTTTTTTCTTTAAATCTGTGAAGATGTAGCTCCCTCTTTGCATTGCACGAATGCTATGTTATCTTGTATAGACTGGCAGCGTAGATTGTCAATTGCAGTTTTTTTTTCTCGTCAAGAAATCAAGCAACATGCATGCACAATATTCAATATGTGAGTTCTTTACAAAAACTAAATTACTCTCATTGATTCCTTTTTGTACAACCCGGGAAGTTTTTTAATCAGAGTTTGCTCAGAATGTCTTTTAAAGCTTTTTATGACCTTTGGATCTTGTCCACTGACACAGTAAACTAATAGCATGGTGCCGGCGTAACGCCATTTGTATTATTGGCGTAAAAAAGTATTGAACATACGAGTAAAGAAGTTCTCAGTATTTGCAAAAGTACATATGTAGTTTAAAACAGCTTAAAAAACGAAATCTGACGGTAGCAAAACTTCTCTTCCCACTTAAGACTATGTGAGGTTCAGAACAGGAATGTGATACCTTGTTTAAATCAGTATGAGGCCACCGACTATATAAAATAAGGCTCTGTATCAGTAAATGATATCCTAAAATATTATGTACTGTGCCCATGTTTTCGTGTTCAATGGAATCATTTGTTTAATTGTTTTAAAATGCTACTCTTTTTAAACAGTTTCCGAAGGTTTAAGTTCAATAAATCTTGGTACACAAATATATTACTTGTACATTAATGTTTTTGAGTTGTATTAGTATTTTTGTGTCACCTGCAGAACAGAGCGACACTTAGGAATCACTTTACCTGGCGTGTGTTTGTCTGTCTTTCCGTCCGTCTGTCGCACTTTATATCCCGAGAACTGTGAGGGGTATGGATTCGATATTTTGTACATGTATCGCTTGACCTTATGGCTTTTGTAAAAAATACCATGGCAACCGACCTCGTGATTTTTTATCTTGACCAATGACCTACTATTAAAAATAATATACATAGCCTATATACAGCTTATATTCGACATTAAAGAGGTAAATCTGTGATATTTAGCATGCGTACTCCTTGCCATGAGATGTTATTTAAAAAATACCAGCATGACAGTGCACTTGACCTTGGTCTTTGACCCCCTTTGCAAAAATACTTCGAACAGCTAATTTTAAAAATTAACTTTTGAATTTTGAGAGGAAAAGTTTCATTTACTAGCGTATATATCACATATATTTATGACACTGTACTTTTAAACTGTCTTATATACGGTAACAACACAAAATGAAATTTGAATACTTTGATATTACATCGGAATCGGTATCACAAAATTGATCCTACTTCAAATAAAGTTGTAGATTAAGAAATGCCATAAAGACAGACTGAAATCTCTCTATTGATTTTGGATAAACAGTGAATAAAATGACAATAAATTCTAATTTCTGATAATTTCAATTTCATTATTCATTTTATCTTTGAGAGTTGGGGAATCATATTTTATTCAATTGTCACATTTAATATCCTATCAAAGTCTTTCTATCCGTGAAAAAGCATGAACTATAATACTAGTGGCATATAGATATTTGACCACTCTTAAAGTTATTTACATCTTTGGTGATGCTATAAATCAGGCGACACATGCTTTCCTTGGAACACTCTAGTTGATCTAGGAATTATTTGGACATATTATATTAAATGTACTGTACAAGTCTTTCAAACTGCTATAGTTTTGGTGATTCTAGTTAAAGGACATATGTATTAAAATGTAAAACATTCTTAAATAATTTTTAGTTACACGTTTATTATTTCCTTTATGTATATAGCAATTAAATTTCATGTTAGTCTTTTATAATCTGATCACGGTCAAAAGTGGTATGTGTATCATACTATTCCTGTATTAAATCGATCTTGTTAAGTAAAAATATTGCTGAGCCTCTCCCTGTACATGTACCGATGAATAATATGACAAATGAAAGTTATCTTAAAACCTTTAAAATATTAATGTATGCAAGCTTGCACTGATATTACATATTCAATGTTTAGGAATTTATAAGTGTCCGTCACGTGATCAACACAGTAATGTGAAAATACAAAAATGCATTATAATAATACCTGATTACACTCTCATAACAAATTGACTGCAAATTCATACTTAGATTACAAATTGAAATTAAAATCTAGCTCAAAATAAAATGTATACTTTAATGTATATTTAGCCTTCGGACAGCCTTAACATGGCTGCGTCTTTCCCCTGAGTCAGAACCTCCTCTTCCCCCAAAGGTAGAAATTCTACTCTTTCCCCAGAGATATCATCTCTTCTTCACCGAAATCGAAAACTTATACTTTTCCGGATGTCAGAACCTCTTCCTTACCCCAAGGTAAAACTTCCTCTCCACGGAATCAAATACTTCTTTTCCAGCGAAGTTAAAATTTCTCTCTGCCGCTATGCAGAATCTAATCGCCCCCACCAAAGCTAAAACCTGCTCTGTCTCCGAAGTAAAAAAAACTCCTTTTTCCCCGAAGACAAAATCCTTCTCCACCCCGATGTCAAAAACTTCTACTCTCCAAAAAGTTAATCTCGCCATCTTATCCATAAATGGACATACACATCAAGGAATAGATATCAATGTATTGTCAACAATTCTGTAGAAGAGAAACATTTGCTAAAATTAAGGGGCAGTTTATGTTATAAATTCAGAGGATACTTTAAACTCGGATAAATAATCCAATACTATCATTTTTTTTTTTCAAATGACCATATTCCTCAAGGTCAAATGAATATTGATATTTCAATATCGAACATGACATAACAGAACATAATATAAGTGATGAAAGGATATTCATTGGTTATCTTTCGTATTGCACGCCGATTGAATAACAAATGATTTTTTTTTAAATATTTGGGACATGCAAAGTCTACGAACGCCGGATAGGCTCAAGATAAGCACAAGATAAAAAAAATTAACTCGTTATAAAGAGTTAGTATCTTGTTATAACGAGCTCATCTTTCACAATTGGATTACATTGTACCTGTAATAAGAAGTGACCTTGACTTTGAGGTCTAACCTCAAAATTTTAGAAGTTTTTATCATTACTCTTAACTTTTGAAGGAGAGAAGACAGGGCATTTATATTTGACATGTGTATTACCTGTTTCTAGACCTTTCCAAATGTACTCTGGTTTTGGACCTTGTGACCTTGATCTTCAAGTCTAACCTACGGTCTTTTTCATCTTTTAACATTGACAACTTTCCAAATGTACTCTGGTTTTGGACCTTGTGACCTTGATCTTCAAGTCTAACCTACGGTCTTTTTCATCTTTTAACATTGACAATAACGTTTAAATTAGTGAAGATAGGATTTTCATATTTTACATGTACATTACATATGACAACACCTTTCAGAAAAAAATATATTACTTCATTACCTTGACCTATACGTTTGGCCTACTTATCAAAAAAATTAACTTTGGCCATAACTTCTGCTCAAAAAGAGAAAGAGCTTTCATTTTTTTTTTTTACATGTATATGTACATGACCTGAGGTAAGACCTTTCGGATTGTATTATGATATTTAACCTCATGATCTTGATCTTGGTCCCGCCTCTGGTGTTTTGGGGGTCCGCGTTTGCTCTGCTCCTGTTTTGTGTTGTTTGGTGGACTTTTGGGCTTGGGTGCTGTTCGTTATCTCCATATATTTCATGCAGTTTTGAGGAGCTTTAATATTTGCCATAATTTTTATTAATTCAATAATTTAAATTTTTTGTATGATGGACACACAAGACAGGACACACAAACAAGACAGTAACATGCAATTAATGACTGCTTCCCAACCACTAAGACACCGAAAGAGGGAGAAACAATTCTTTGAATTTGCTTGTAGTATATCTTATGACACATATTATGTTTTAGGAAAATTTCGCGAATTTGCTAGAGAAAATGACGTTTAAACATGTAATGCTGTAGTATGTTATATATGAACTATTCTCTTTAAAGTGTTATTCATGTTTATCGCTCGACAATAATATTGAATTTCCCTTATCCCACCCTAAACAAATGTCAAATATCCTGCACGCCATGATAAAATATATATTTCAATATAACAATAATCACAATTCATGAACTTTTTTCTCGCTCAAAAATGCGAAATAATTATCTCAGAAAATTAGTGTGCCAAAAGTTTGGTCATCTACAATAGGTTTGCAAGATTTCCGAATAATTATACAAAATAATTTACTTGGATCAAGCAAATATTACATTTATAAAGGTATATCCTAATGCACCAACCTTCCATGATATCGATTAAAGCTTCACTTATGACAAATGTTTACATGGCTCTGACAGTTTTGAAATGCCTGGTTACACTTTAACTTTAGTTTTGTTTAATATGTCAGCAGTATATCCATATCTTTTGAGCATTTTTAACAACTCTAGATTACAAAGGGATTTTTCGAAGAAAAGTTTGTCAAGTACACAGTAAAAAAAAGAATGCATTCTTTTATTCTTACTTAATTTCTGTTTGAATCCTTTATCTCTGTTCCGTTTGCACAGAAAGTTTTCTTAAATGTTGCCCCCAGAACGGACATCATTTTTAACCATCCCACTATCTTCACTTAAACAAACCATCCAATTACTGATTGAAGTTTCGACAAGTCCTTCGTCGCCATATTTTATTTTTTTGTCAAATCATTATATATTACTGGAAAAGATTTTTCAAGATTTACATAAAACGTTTCAGTTCTTTCTTGCTCGAGTACGATACGACTGAGTTAACCATAGACACACAAGTAATCTACATCTTGACTTTATTATCACATTTTGACGTAATAAACATGAAGCAAAATATTATATAACCCAAGCTATTTATAGAAAATATTTGCCAAATTTCATTTTGATGTGAATTGTATTTATATACATACAGAGATAGATCGCGAAGGTTTTGATCAAATCACGTATCTTCTATATCTGAACGATTTTTTTTAGATAAATTTTAATAGTAATTTATTTTTATTTTCAATCACAATAATGGGTGTATGTAGAATATTTTTCTATGTACATGTACTTCATAAAGAACCAGGTTTGATTCGCTCTAAACGTTATTTCGTACATAAAAATACGTATAATATGAAAGATACAGAAAATGGAAATGGCTTCAATGGAAGCATGATTTCAGTAAAAGAATATTCGCTGTATTTGTGTTGCACTTTGTTACATTTTTCTAGTTTTCTTCTTCATCGATATGTTTTAAATCCTCTTTGATATGAAGATCTTCTTCTCTTCTACTCCTATCATCCTCAACATCTCTGGTCTGGTAGACCTCTTCGAACTTCTTCCATTTGATGTCCAGGGCATCCAGCAGATCCTTCCAAGTTTTCTCTGTAAAAGCCTTTACTTTACATCGCTTGTGATCCATTAACTTTTTCAAACCCTTGGTATTTTTATCGCTGAGCCTCTTTTTCAATCCGTGGACATGTGGCTCCCCCTTCGTTATGCACGAGCGCCGTTTTATCTTATAAAGACTGGCAGCGTATATTGTTAATTGCACTTGTCTTTTTCTCGTTAGAAAATCAAGCAGCATGCGTGCGCAGTATTCACACGGTGAGTTGTTGAGGTAAACTCTTACTCTCATCAATTCTTTCTTGTACATGCCGGATAGTCTTTTTATCAGAGTTTGCTCTGAATGTCTTTTGACGCTCTTTATGACCTTTGGATCTTGGCCACTGACCCAGTAAACTAACAGAGTGATTCCTGCATAGGACCAGTTGTATTCATGGTTTAAGACAGTGTTGTACATGTGGTTGAAGACATCCACAGGATCTGTAGAAGTACATGTATATTTAAAGAACTTAAAATCTTTATTAAATGTTATTTATCTGAAATATGGAGATGGTCAAAATTTTAAACTATAACCCCATTTAAATTAAAAAAATTCTAAATCGTACAGTTTGGAGTAAAATAAAGCTTCAAAAAAGATTTAATAAAAAGACCACAGTTAATAATTAAGTTTTATGTATAATTTCTTTCCTTTTAATTACTTTATTTTGAGTCGTACATGTACCTTTGAATAACCAGTAAAAGAGAGTGTTTTATATTGTTTTGTGGATTTTAGTCGTACAGTGTATTTTTTGACAAAGGTATCAGTGACGAACTGAAGTCAAACGAGTCCACAATTTTATTTCTAAGAGTTTTTTTTATGGATTTTGTCAAAAAGGTAAAAATCATGTTGAATATAGATTGTAATGATATGTAAGGAGAAATATCCCTCTGCAAAGAGATACATTCCTTAATTTTATATGATCACTCTTTCTTCTTTAATTACCGTTTACGATAGCTCAGTCGGTAGAGCGCTCGCTCCGTGATCGGGAGGTCGTGAGCTCGAATCTCGGCCGCGACTGACCTAAGTTGATAAAAAATGGGTAGCAGCCGTTCCTTTGCCATGCACTCGGCACTTTGAAGTGAAAGTTGCGGGTCCTTCGGATGAGACCTTAAAAACCGAGGTCCCGTTTCACGGCAAACGTTGGCAAGGTAAAGATCCCTCACTGCTAAATGGCCCTGAGTGCCGAGTAAAGGTCAAAATTTGAAGCCCTTCACCGGTATATGGTAACGTCTCTATATGAATGAAAAATTCTCGAATGGGATGTAAAACAACATACAAACAATCCATTTTTTAAATGCTTTTTTATCTTCAACAATGATTTGTATCAAGTTTGCCTCTATGTTAAGCATGTTTTTCCCCACATCTATTGATAAATTGTTAAAATTACAGAAAAAAAAATGTTTTTGTAAACAATGTTTTGCTTTTAAATAAACAAGCTGTTGTTCCCCCTTAATTCTGTGATTTGGGACTGATCAATCATTAAACGGCCCATTGAATGAACTATTCTGTTTCCCTGCATGATAACTGACATGTTATTCACTGTGTGGGAACTCGAATTTTTTTTTTTAAAATGACAACTGCTTCTTCAATAAAATAGGAACCGTAATTTATTTTTTTTTTTTCATTTCTTGTGAATGGTAACCTAAAAAATAACTTTGTAAAAAATCACTCTGATCTACATATATACACTTGAAAGCTGATATAAAAAAGGAGTTTTGAATTCCTCTCTGACAGTGTCTATCGTCCTTAGAGACCAGGTTGTCCAAAAATCACTTTTTAGCTGACGTATTTTTATATTCTAATGAAGCAAAATTTATTCATAAAACATCTACATTAGACAAAACTATCACCTGCATATGGTGTTTGTCCCAACTAATTCGATATTCAATAGCATGCCCTGAGTATGATCAATTTTTTAACCGAGCGAGGCTACTGACAAATTAGTTGTTGTAATAGGGATTTCAACAGTCTTGTTTGAAGTCAACATTTTATGAATTCTATGGTCGTTATAATGGCCTAGTAAGCAATTACAATCTATTGTCTGGATCTTATGGATAATGATAAAGGGTGAAGATAAGGAACAGTAATCGATCTTAAAAAAAAACTTCAAACAATACGATGTGAAAAGGGTATGAGCACGGATCCCTGGAAATTCCGAAGATTGGATCAGGTGCATAGGAGGAGTAAGCATCCCCTGCTGACCGGTCGTATTTGACTGACATATTTCGTATCAATTGGAAGGCCTTTGTTCAATTCTAAACTTGACAACGGATTTCTCAGTTTACCTGGTCAATGCATAGGGCTCACGGCGCGTGTGAACGTCCGAAGGGGAATGCTTACTCCTCCTTGGCACCATATGCAATCTCTGAAATTTTCAGGGGTCCGTGGTTTGCTGATCAATGGTTTGTATTGACTGTACATTTTCTAGATTGATCAATGCTCGTAATCTTCTTCTATTGCATTCAATAACTCGTGGTTCACATATAAACTTAACCAATGTTCATGATCCTATATGTCCATTTTGATGATAGATTTTGTTTGGGAACTTAAAACTTGTAATTCTTTAAATTTTCTCCTCCTCCTATTTTTTACGCTTCTGAAATGAAACACGTTTAAGTTCATAGAACATTACGTCGCATAATTGTTAAAATTTAAAACATTTTTTTTTTGGGGGGGGGGTACACTTTTAAGATCTCACACCAGCAATGAACAATACATATCGTTTTAGATTTTCATTGGTCCAGTCAGTTCAAAATCGAGCTGCATCTTAGTTCTATTGAATGATAAAACGACACAAAGGCTTCTATATTCATCCTTAAATGTTCAATATGACTAGTAAAGGTTAAACAAACATTTAAAATATTCATATATAAGAGGTTATATATATTACATACAGAGCGTACACTACAGGTAAACACATATTGACTATGATCGATAATTCCTGTTCGTTATTAAATTACCTGCTTCGGGCTCATCATCGCTAATGCCCTCTACAAAGAACAGAATGAAAACATTAAGAACATACTAAAAATTGAAAACGTATAGCTCTCTCTCTCTCTCTCTCTCTCTCTCTCTCTCTCTCTCTCTCTCTCTCTTCATTATTGCTAGGACATGATTGTTTCCTTGAAAGAAATCCATAAATACTTCGAGTGCTCATTGTTGATTAAAAGAAAAGAGTCAGGAACACAAGGAAAAGGAAAAAATATCAAATAATCAAGACAATAAAGATATATGCATGTATGTACCAATACATTGCGTTTTAATTAAAAAAAAATTGAATGTTTTTATATTTACCATAATCAGTCTCATCATCAGAATCATCATCGGAGTCGCTCTCTGTAAAAGAAACGATGTTTTAATCTCCAGTGTCATTGAGGAATAATTATACTAGAATTGTTGTCACACTATATAGTTTCCTATATACCCATATTTAAAGAGCACAACACTTTTACTCATGCCTTTTAATTGATTGCATATTTTGGCATTTTGACCAGCAATTAATTACATGTTCCTAAAGTTTCTATAAATCGAGAAAGTATAAAATTTACATCATAGTGATGTGCTTCTCGATCATTTTAATTGACTTGAAATTATTTTAAAGTAAATTATTAACCACATTACCTTCATCATCTCTTCTCTGTAAGTCAAAACTCCCTTTTCCACAGGAGTCAAAATCAGTCTTCTTATACATAACGACAGGTACACGTACACGTCCCAGAGTATTTCAAAGTATTGTCAGTAATTCTGTAGAATGGAAACTTGTGCTAGGAAATAAACAGAACATGTGTTATAAAATCTAGGCATACTCTGAACCTTTTGAAAAAATTCATAATTCATTGTTATTTAATACACCAGGTTCGCCAAAGTCAATGATAAACTATTGATATATTTTTTTTTAAATGTAAATCACAACGGACGAAACGAAACATGATATCAGTGATACATGTTAAAGGATTTAACATGATTTAACACGATTTGAATAAAATTTTTGAATGATTGGAAAATTGCTGATCGGCAGTCATCCAGCAATGCACAAATATTACTACATTATGTTCACTAGTAAGATATCTAGTGACCAGGCGCGGATCCAGAAGTTTTTTCCAAAGGGGGGGGGGGGTCCATTTAATCTTCCCAACTGTATTAAACCAAGAAAATTTCATGCTAAAATCCATTTTCCAAACGTGAAAAATACATATTTCGTGGTGGTGATGATGGGGTCCATATTTTCTAGAGGGGGAGGGTCCAAAGTCATTTTTTATTTGCTTCACTATATACTTTTATTAATAACTCTGCAAATTCCAGGAGGGGGAGCTCCGAACCACCCCCACCCCCTCTAAATCAGCGCTTGTGTGACGGTACACGTAGTCGTTATGTGCATATTGACGTCGGTTACAAAATGTACCTAACCTAACTGCAAATATCCTAGGGGTACATGTAAGTATTGTCTTCAGAGAAAATATATACCTTAACGAGCCTTTTTTTCCTCCGGCATAACGGACGAAAATATGCATCATGCATCAGCACATGTTGTCATTGGCGACGATATGCACTGTGAACATTTTCACATTTTATCAAAGATATATTGAATCGAAGAATATCCACTAATAAAGAAAGAGAGAGAGAGAGAGAGAGATTCAATCAAACACACACAAACACACACACTCTCTCTCTCTCTCTCTCTCTCTCACACACACAGGGAGACAGACAGACAGCTAGACAGACAGAAAAAGATACAAAAGGATAGAAAAATTCTATTTCAGGAAGATAAGTAGACATGTTATATATATTTATTTAGCATGACTCGTAAAACGGTAGGGCGAAAAGGTTTTTGTCAGAGATATGTGTCCAGAATTGGTGTACATCACTATAATATGCCCAGATACCTCATTTATCTGATAAATCTGCCTATTTAATTCTTTCTTTCCCTTATACCTGGAGTATGAATGTTAATGTTTGTCTTCAGTAGTAACAATTATTTGAAAAATACTTAAACATGTACCGATATGTCTGGAGATGGGGGCGATATTTTAAGCTCACCAGAGATGAAAGTTTAAGTGAGCTTTATCTTATCATTTCTGGTCTGTCATCCATCTTTCTTACCGTCTGTAAACCTTTCACATTTTCAGCATCTTAATTAATGAGTCAGTTTCAACCAAATTAATCAAAAGCATTCGTGGATAAAAGGGATTAAAGCTTTTCAAATGAAAAGCCACCTCCACTTTCAAGAGCAGATAATTAAGAATTAGTGAATAAGTGAAATTAAAAAAAAATATATTTTTCTCAAGAACCACTGTGCCAGAAAAGTCGAGACTTATGTGAAAGCTTCATTATAAAATGCTCATTCAATTTTGTTTAAATCTTAACACCATGGAGAGGGGTGGGGCTTCAATAGGTGATCAAAATTTTACATAGGAATATAGGCATGTATGGAAAAATCTTTGAAAACCTTCTCAAGAACTGCTGGACCAGAAGAATTTATACGTATGTGAAAGCTTAATTACATAGTGTGCATGTACATTTAAGTCTGTTCAAATCATGACCCCAAGGTGTAGTGTGGGCCACAATGTGCGATCGAAGTTTTACATAGGAATATATAGGAAAATGCTTTAAAAATCAAAGCAATGATATATATATTTATTTGGAAGCATTGTCAGGTAATATACCGACGGACGACAATATGTGCAGTTAGGGTGGATACCTGTACACATTATATCGGCGACAATGAACATGACGGTCATACATATATGTACCATCACAGTCTCAACAAGTCACAGAACTACAGAAAAAAAAATCGTTGAGCAACAGCATCTGTTGGGCGACAATATGTGCAATGAGGGTAGGATGTATAACTTTTCAGCTGGCGACAATTTGTACCTATGAGCGACAAAACGTGCAGTAAGGGAAGGTACATATTGTCGCCGACGACAATATGTACAAAATGACAATGTGAACCGTCACAAACCTTCCATATAACATCATTTATCTGTTTCTACATTGGAGAAAAAATAAGATATCGAATATTTCCATATTGATACAGTTAGTTACGAAACGTTATCGTCATCTGTACTCGACCTTACAGATAAACATAACTTTTGTTCAACATTGAAGTAAGTATAGAAGTAGAACTTTTTATTTGATACAATTAATTATGGAAATTTATTTCATCTGCAACCGATTTCCAGGTGACACTTACTTCTTTTTCAACATTGCATTAAAAAAACAATAATGAATTAAAAAATCCAATTGCAAATTAATGTGTTTAACTTAAAATGATTATTTTAATCCCGCATCCCTCAATATATACATTAGAATAAACTATCAAAAAAAAAAAAATTAAAAAAAAATAAAGAAAGATTGTACGGTTTGCTTTCTGAATGTCCATGATAAGAGATGAGTTTCAAAAATTTAAGTTTACCTCACCCTTGATCTGTGCTCTTGTTCTATAAATTCTATAAATATTGTATAGATGGCTATTTCCTTATTACAATATTGCAAATAGATTTCCTGCAGGATACTCATGAGAAAAGAATATAATTCTTTAAAGATAAAGCAGTAGAATTTTCAAAAATAATTGACCAGTATAGACACCCCTTGACCCAAGTGTCAGGACTTCAGTTCCTGTGCTCATTGTATTTATGCAAGCAGCTTGCCCGCTTCTTGTTGAAGTAAAAAATATTTTAAACATCTTGTGCATTTCAAGATACAATAAGGATCCAATCTTGCCAAAGCTGGGCCTGAACCTATTGAAAACAAATTCCACAGATTTAAAATTATATCCTTTAAAATCATGCAAAACCTCCCCTCCCTGATGTCCAGGAGTAAAAAAGCAATTCGAAGACATAAGTTTTACAAACGACTTAGTTTGAATTACTCTGGTGCTTTAACCTAGAATTCATTGGTTTCAGTGTTTTGTGAAGGACTCATTGCTTGTCATAATGATGCAGAATTAGACTGCTTGGTGTCGAGCAGCAAGGAAGCTGAAAATATTTCATTTCTTACCAACAAACCATAAGAAAGGGATTATATTTTGGTGCGAATGAGAATAATTAATGCATAATTGTAAATTGTTTCATCACTTCTTACAGAAAATCTAAACAGATCGAGTACCTTTTCATGTGGTGACTCGAATTTATGAGTAGAAAAATAGGATCATATGACATACTGTAAAACGGGAAAGTTTTACTCATGTATTTTAGCGGTTTTTATTATTATTGTTATGTATTTTAGCAGAAGCGCAAATGCCAATGCATTAGTGTAAATATATTTCAGAGCACAGGCGATTTATTTCAAAATAAATTTTGGGCAGATCATTTGGTTTGTTTAACAGCCAATTTTCTCCGTCAGTCAACAATGCACTTGCGTTTCCTAACTCGGGCACGTCAGGTGTTGATCAGGTAAAGTGTCAGTCGCATTTTATCGTGATACTAAAGATAACCCCATAGTTAACCCGCGTATATAAATGTATTTACAAGAATAGTCTCTTTCTAGTTAAACTTAGCTGCCTTGAAGTCTTCCAAAAACAGATTTTTTTTTGTGTATAAATATCTAAGTACATGTTCGCAATATTTTCGAGGATGCTTAAAAAAACCATGGGCAGATTTCATTTTGTGGATTTTCCAACATTTGATATGAACAAAGTTTAAGTGGCAGAATTTGGGTCCTTGCTTCCTCGAAGCGACCAATTCATCCCCTTAGTTTCTAAGCTTATTTATGACAACTCTAGATAAGATGCAATGATATAATAAAGTAGGTTATGTTCAAATTAAGAATTATGGGGGAATCAAATTCCAATTGTAAAATATTATTTTGATTTAATTTAATAGCATATGCGCCACAATGTCGACTTTGAAGTACCCTTATAAACCACAATATTTACGATTATCAATATTACTTGCCGTATGCAGACAATAATCTGTTGTTGTTTACGTAAAATGCCAATATTATTATTATTATTTTTTTTTTTTTTTTTTTTTTTTTTTTTTGGTTTGCAATTTAAATTTTTTGGGGACAATTTAATATGTACATGTAAGTAAAGGAAACAAAAATACTGTCAATTTAAGGTCAGACAACACGTTCCTCAAAATTAATCTAAAACTTCCAAGAATTTGTCATTAAAGTATTTCTACTGAAACAAGTTTCCTCACTAAAAACCGGGGTGCCTTACAAGTATTTCGTGCAAGTTACCAGAGAATGGTGTTTAATTCTTATATTATCCTTTGGGAACCGTCACGGTAGCTCAGTCGGTAGAGCGTTCGCTCCGTGATCGAAAGGTCCGTGAGTTTGAATCTCCGCGGCCGCGACTGAACTGAGTCGATAAAAAATAGGTAGCAACTGTTCCTTCGCCAAGTGAAAGTTGCGGGTCCTTCGGATGAGACCTTAAAAACCAAGGCCCCGTGTTATGATTGGCGTAGGCACGATAAAGATCCCTCACTGCCCTGAGTGCCTAGTAAAGTCTAAATTTGAAGCCGTTCACCGGTATATGGTAACGTCTCTATATGAATGAAAAATTCTTGAATGGGACGTTAAACAACATGCAATCAGTCAATAAATTCTTTTGGAAATCACTAGCATTGTTAGTATCACAATTGTTTCAGAATTTTTTTAAATACATTCTGAAAACAGATATTATTTAATTATGATAATTTTGACTAATTTGACTAAATTGACTAATTTTGATAATTTTGACTAATT